AAAAGTAGAGCTGGAGTGTTCAGTACCTCAGAAGGAAACACTCTAAAATACTGGTCTGAACTTTAGCCCTGAAATTGATTGTAGGATTTAAATCCTTCAGTGATTCCAGGATTTCACATCATGTTTTCTCTTTGTTCAATGTAATTCTGACCACACATTTAAAATTGGAAAATAAATAATAAATAATGATTCTGTAAATAGTAACAACACACCCCAAGAACAATCTGAGAAAAACATTTGCTTGGACAAGCAGACTCTCTGGTACAGTACATAACATTAATGAAAAAGATGGAAGATTCAAGCATTAAAGGCCTGAAGGAAGTAGGATGTCAAAGGAGATGGATCCAGATGCAAAAAGGGAAAGTTCTTTGCTAAGTGCCTTAGTAAAGCTCTTCATGACTTTTATTTAGAAAATGAACATAGTTTGGAGTGCAAAATATGAATTTTATTTAGAAAACTAAAAAGTATCCAATTGGATTAGGTTGAAGTACCTATATACAGGTTAGAGGATATTGGTTTAAAAACATATATTAAATTGTAAAAGAAAATTTTTATAAGTTCACAATAATAGGTATCTTACTAAAGAGTTTAGAATGTCTGTAGAAGGATTTATATCTACTTTGCGGCCTCTTCTCTACAGTAAAGTCAAAGGAAACAATCATTCATTGTGGGCAATTTGTTTATAAAGGGTACATGTGTGAAATGTGACCTGAACAGACAAAATTTTATAAGCATTTAAAAAGAAGCAAAAATTTCAAAAATTAGATAGTATATATAAATTAGTAACCAAAGTGACACAATGTATGGCATCTTATTACTTCAACTATGAATTCTCTCCTAGTATACCAGAGAATAAACTAGATATTATACAGGGCTTTTAGGAAAACAACACAAAATTGCTTTTTCTTTAAATAATCCTTGAATAAATATATAAGGAATCTGCCAAAAATATAAATTCTAAAGTTTAAGACCAAGTTTTCTATACCCACTGAGGTTACAGTCTCCTAACAACTTCATTCAAAATAGATGTCTCTTGCCTCTGCTTGCTTAGCCTATACTGTAGTCTTTGGCTTACTAAATGCTTTATAATAATTGAACCTGGCTATTTTTTGCTGCCTTCTTTTGTAAGTGCCCCACATTAGCTTACTCATACTAATACTAGTGTTAACAAGCTAATGCTAATACTAACGTGTTAATGTTACTTGCATTTTGGTTGTAAGACATAGCATATATTGAGAAATGAATACTTAGGGAATTCCCACGTGACCAAAACACAATTGTCCCCATCACATAATGTGAGTGATCCCATTTTGTTCATCTGGCAGATGCACTTCTGGTCACAGAATGTAAAAAAGAATTGGAGGAAACATGATCAACGCATCTTTAAAAAAAACTCTGAGGCCCAAGAAGCTGAACTTACTGTCACCAGTACTGGAATGCTCATGTATTTCTTCTCCCTTATGTAGACTGGTCCCTGTCACAGGAGAAGGTGATTTTTCACTTTGTTACTATCATTTTGTATGAAAATACATCAACATCTTCATTTATTTGTCTTAATCGATAGTTTCAGACGAGGAGCACCTTTCAGTGAGGTGCCAAGTAGAAACAATCAAATGCATGACTTATTTTGGAACTCTGTCACTCCTTCCAAAGCTGGATATTATCTTGCCCTCCTTGTTAAAAATCATCACTAGAACTTTCCAGAGCTGACACAGTCGACTGAAGACTTCTACTCTGTTCAGGCTGACAGACTGAGAAGGTGCCAAAAGGGAAACTTGGTATCATACACAAACTCCTTCTGAGGGTCAGACAGGATTTTTCATTTTATGGCAAAGCTAGTATTTTTTTCCACACATTCTTCCTTATCAGAAGTTCCTGGGGATGAATCTGTGAGGTCCAAAAGAAAACAAAGCAAAGAAAAAATTATATCAAGTGGATGCTGACAGTCTGAATCAAAGGCTTACTGCTTTATAATCAAGGTTTTGGAAAAACAAGAATAGGACAACCCTGAGGCTTTGGCACTGAGTTCAAGAACACAGTTAGGAGTCACTGCACCTCCAAGAACTGAGAGAACTGAAATGGAAACAAAGACCTCTCAAAAACCAAGGGGATAAATTAATTCATTTAGCACTGCCAGCAATTATACAATGGGAATGCACTTTAGCTAGGAATGTGTTAGGCAATGACCACAGCTGGATGTGCTTCCAGCTGAAGTCATGCTCCAAAACCCACTGAATGTGATGGAACTCTCCGTTAGCTTCAGTGAGCTTTTAATCAAACCCAAGTCTGTCAATCAGACAGCAATATTTAGAAGCAAGTTTGCAAGACAGTAAGTTAAACTGCACAAGGCCAGAGGATCTGGAAAAAAAACAAGTATCAGTGAAGGGACTAATTGGTGGACATGTAAACTCACTCCCAAGTGTCCTTTGGTCAGACTCAGGAATTTCATTATTTTCTGTGATAACAGGATTCAGAAAGCACAAGGAACAGTGATCTGAATCAGTTCCTTGCTCAAGCACAGATTTTCTGTGAGGTTTTTTAAATGCTTGTCTTTCTGCTCAGCAACACCACAATGGCTATAAGCAGTCTTTCTTTTCCTTTGCTTCTAATGGCATAATATTCTTGAGCTGCTTAAATCCTGGGTCTCTTGGGCTTCTAGCAAGTCTTAGGGTTGCTAGTATCAGGACTTCTAGCATCCAAGCTCAAAAAAAAGCGACAAATATTAATTCCAGCATCAACTAAGGTGTGTCCACCACCCAATCTCTAAGTTCTGGTTCTTTAAAGCATAAATTAAGACAAAGATGTTTTCTTTGTTTGACCCCTATTGGCAAAATTTGTGTGCCGTATGAAACACCATCCTCATAAGTTTGTAAAATGTGTTGTATAAAATATACCCATTTCCAGATAAGTTTCCATAGCTCTAACAAAAAATAGAAGCAATTTCAATGTTTGTAAATTCATGTTTGCCTTCAATTAATTTTACTTGCTTAGTGTTTCTGGAAAACAAGACCAAGAAAGCATATTACAGTCTGACAGGAATACAGTAAGTCACTAAAATCAAGATTAAGTTAAGAACCGTAGCCAAAGTGGTTTGAACTTCATTGGTCTTAATAAAACAAAAAAAGCAAACAAAAAAGCAGACTAAAGGACACAAATGCTTCAGGCCCTGTGAAATCTATGTCTAAATCAACTGTAAGAATGAAGAAAAAACATCAATGTAGATATGAAGAATTTGTTGTAGATAAGAGTTTTTCTTCAATAAAAAATACAAGGTTGGAGTCTTTTCTACAAGTTAAATCAGTGAACACTGGGCCTGTGTAGAAAGAATATATTTTGTAAATGAATAAGACATGTTGAGAGTGAGAATTTAGTAGAGTAAATCTTAAATGACCAAGCACAGCAAAAGATAAAATACTTAAAATTGAAATAATGTTAGTTACTTCAACACATGGAGAATCGTAAAAATTAGCAGTAGAAGATATAAGGTGAAATGATTAATTTTGCTGCAGAAGATAACAGGATTTGTTTTGTTGCCAGGAAGGAGCGTACATAGGCACTGAAAGCAAACATTACTAGCTTAAGGAGTAAACTGAGGACAAATATACTGACCTGAAGAAAAAGGAAGGACATAGTGTGGTACTCTCACTGTACTTATTGTTCTGATTCTGCATGAAAGAAGCTGTTTTTACGGTAGGAAGGAACTGTGAATAAGGAAAATATAAATATCTGATTTAATGATTCAAGGTCCCCATTTTCATAGAAGCAAATCATGCTGAGTCTTCCTTAGAAAGATATCTGTTATCCAGGAGTCATCATAGTACTGTAAGGCACTGCAGACGTGTGTCAATTGTCAAAATAGCACGTGATACCTAGTGCCATTTGATATATCCTACAACATCCTACCCTCTACCTATCTGCTGACAGAGGTGTTGATCTTCTGTCCTTTGATTTCTTTCTCTGCTAAACCCTTTCAAATGTCTTGGATTCCCTAGGTTAACGCTAAAAGTTTGATGATGGACACTCAAATTATTGAGAGCTAGCTTAAAATTCTTAACACTCTTTCAGTGTCTCATACAAATTTGGCTTTCTAGGATGGTCTTCTTATTGGAAAAATTTTGATGTGGAAATCATAAAGTAAAGGGATTCAGGTTTGCTTAGCACATTGGAATCCTCTACATGAATCTTATATTCCTCCACAGATAAGGAATGTGTTCTGCCTCTTCCTAAGAGTTGATATAAGACATTGTCAGCATTAGAATGCATATTTCATTGAAGATCTGGAGGAATGATGAAAATTTCAGAGGAATGGTTGTATGTTGTACAAAATACTGGTAATATAAAAGTAAGCACAGAATTAAGTGGGAATTGATAATAAAGAAAATGCCATCAATAAGGAAAGAGATAGCTTGACTTCTGCTAACCTTGTAAAACCTATTTCTGGTGTAGTATAGTTCATGATAATAAAGTGTATGCCCACCATCTGCAGTGTATTATAGCAGTTCATATCTATTAAGGAAATGGTACTTCTCTGCAGGAGGAAACCATACTGGAAAGAGTAGATCCTATGTGAATTGCCTCATAAGTACTCACAGAAAAGTAAAGGGAAAAAAGAAACAAAAGTATCTTCAAATACATAGAAGATAATATCCACAGATATTCCGCAGATGAAAATTCATTAAACATTATCACATAAAATGAGCCCCAAAATATAAATTTTACATCTAGGAAAAAATATTCACATGTAAACAAATTTGCTTAGGCCTTGATTTTGGATGTTAGAAAAGATTCATTTCCAGATTATCAAGACACCCAAAAGATTGTTTCCAGTATGCAGCTGAGAATGTTATTGGTATATTAGTAGGAGCAGTAAGAAATTTGAGGGGGGGTTAAAATCTGTGATGTTAAATAAATGGCATTTGCTTACAACAAACCTTTGTCTGACCTTGCTAAAATTCAGTTTAGCAAAATCCAATATAAAGGTGTTTGAAGTCCGAGAAACTGTGGTCTCCAGTTGAGGGTAGAAGCTGTACGACCTCCCACAGCCCCAGAATGCCACTGCCATTGGTCAGGGTCTAATACCTCTGGCTCTGCATTCTCAGTAACTCCATCCCATTTGAGAGATTGGAAGCTAAAGGTAAGTTTTGGTACTTCTCTCTTAGAACAGTTAATTGGATTTTTAACACGGGAAATATTTTTATAGTATTTGTTTTACTTTATCATGCATAATACTGATTCAAAGGCTGCAGATTGAAACTATTTATTTTTCCCTGGATATGTCTTAGTTCCTTCCTGTGAGAGGAGTACATAATCTTTAACAAAATATTTGATCTTACAGCTATTGCATATGCCAATATCATTACAGTATGTTCCAATATATTACACGTAGGGGAAGTAGAGAGACATACAGAGAGAGACGTGCAGAGACAAACTGCAAGTTAGTTCAGATACTATAGTCATAGGTAAATAATCTGTCTTTCACAGACATTATAATTATATTTGCTGGGTTTGTCTATATATTTACAAAATTAAATACTTATCAAGCCCTATACCCTTTAAAAACCTTTTCATTCTAGGCAATTTGAAATTAAAACAATTTGAATAATAAGTTTTTTTTAAAAATAGAAATTGTTTATTTAGAGGAAAAATTATACTAGATATGTTAGTATTACATTTTGGGTTAGAAGATAACATCCTTTATCACTGAATTACTTGGAATAAATGACATGCAAAAGAAAAGCAAGACCAGAAATAGTCCTGTCAAAATTAGGCAGCAGAAAATGTAAAGAGAGTTAAAAAAAAACCAAGCTTCAGTGTACTTCAGTTTATTTCAGAGATCAATTGCATTTTAATTTAATTTTATTTTATTTCAGTTCTTTGTAACAAAGCAGAATACCTTCAGTAATACTGGAAGCTAATACTGAAAGGTGCAATTCAACTAAGTCTTCTCAAAGACAAGCCCAAGTGACTCTGGCTTCTCCCAGCAGCAGCTGAAAAGTCTTTTTTCAATAAAGCAAATGAGAGAAAAATGAATGCCTTGTGTTTCTAACCATCCCCAGAGGAATTTCATATCCTCATGCCTAAACCAGTTTCATAAAGACGTCTTTTCATGAACTTAAAATCCAGTTTGTTGCTCAGCACACACATTCAAAAAATGTCTCATGCATTTCTTATAGTTAATCTATTTTAACTAGCTACAGTTAAAATTGAAATATTTAAGTGTGTGTATTATGGCATCACATCAGGAGTACAATTTATTAGATTTATCACTGTCTGTGCTTTTGGTGAAAACAGTGGGAACTGTGGCTAAATCAAGGTGTAAGTAGAGAATGATGAATAGACCCTTGTGTCGGCCATATTATATGATAATAATTAATTACTTGCAAGGACTCGGGAACACAAAAACACTAATATTCAAGCCTAGTGTGATTTTTCTACTGTTTTACTGAAATATGAAACTTTTAAATGGATAATAATTTGATTTTACAGTTCTATTCTCCAAGGAAAACAGGTGACTTATGCTACCATTTCTCAAAACTTTAAAAATGGGTTTGATTGAATAATTAAGGAATGCAGAGTACTGTCACTTTCTGGGCTATGGAGGACACTACTATCTTTTTATTTTGCTCCCTAGACCTTTGCAGATGTGATGATTCAAATATGCCTCACCATTCAAACGACTAAAACTATATACTGGCAAAACAGCTATGGTGTGAAAAGTGTTTTGATTGTGTTCATCCACAGATAATAAAGAGGTCTTAATGTTTTTTGTTTGTTTGTTTGTTTTTTGGTTTTTGGTTTTTGTTTTTGTTTTTTTTTGTGGTGGAAGAGAAAGACAAAATTACATTGTTATACATTTCAAAAGCTTATTTATTGTGGTAGACACAATTAATTTAATAATCTAGCTTTTGGCTAGTTTCTCAAAAGTTCTTTTCTAATTGTGCAGTGGAAATAGGTGAAGTTAGATGAAAGGGGAAAAAGATTAATATATATATATTCCTTTCACCTTTTCAGGTACTTTTTCATTGACACCGGTTTATTTTTATGCCAAGAAAACTCAATAGGTCTTTCCTAAATTATCGAAAAGTTAGTATGGCCAAAACAGTTTGCAGAAATTCTCAGATCCAGGGACTCTTCATGAAGCAAAACAGAATAAATCATTGAGTCATCATGAATAAATATGAGCTATCCACCAGAAATATTGTACTGTATTTGTGAGATGAAATTTTAATTTTAATAGATTTCTTGCAAACACCAGATTACCCACATTTTGTCTATTTTTTCTCTCTCAGAAAAGAAAGCAGAATGCAGACCTTTGTAAATATTTTTCTGGGATTTTTTATCTTCGAGTCTGTTGGAGCTGCACCTATCACTGATACTGTAATTTATGATGATGAGTTCTATGGCATACCACTTGGAGAGATGCCTCACTCATTTGCCTATGATGAAAACGAGTCTGACCAATTAGAGGTAATCAGAACTTCATTTATTCTATCTTTCCAAAGTGCACAAATGCAGTGGGTAGTGATGAGTTTTTGTTGGCCATGGAAACATTTATCAGACAAATCTACTCATGTGGTTGCTATTGCCTTTGGTTGATCAACAGTTTTCAGTGCTAATAACACACTGCAGTTCATTTACATTTTCCCTACTCTACAAATGTGGCCAAAATATTTCCAGATTTTTGTTTTTTGTGGAAATCTTTGACAGAAGGTGAAAGCTACCATGCTTCCCTCTGGTCTCTTGAATTACCAAATTCTGTTGGAGGTTGTCCATGTGATTTTCTGTCTGGATGAAGCACAGAGGCAGCTGAGATAGGACATCAGGCATTCCCTTTACAATGAAGTTGTAAAATGCTGTTTCCTGAGGTTATTTCTTATAGTAATAGATGTGTTCAACACAAGCTTTTCAGATTGTAAATGCTAGTGGTTTCTATTTCTCTTATAAAAGTGGGCAGAAGGAGGAAAAAACCAAAGGGAAAGTACTTGAATTGAAAAACAGGAAAGTAAGAAAGATTACTGAAAAAACATGTTGAAATTCTGTTATAGGATGAGATAGTAAAATATGTTGCCTGTATAAGCAAGGGATTCAAATTGCTGACTTAAGCACCTCCTTCCCCTCCTATAATTCTGTATTTCTCTATATTACTAAAAGTCTACATTAATTTTAATCTCACTCTGCTGCTTAGATATGGGCACAATTTCCCTGAAGGTAATATAAGTACTGTATGATGCAGGACTGAGTGCAATAGAAGTTGAGTGAAAAATTTAAAATTTAAATAATAAAATGTGGTTTTCACTATTACACATAATACTGTAGCACATTTTCACATAACAGTACATGATTCATGAAAATACGTTCCTCCGAGTGATTTATGATTGCAGCAGGAGGGACAAGATACTAGTCTTTCATCATGGTGAGATCAAAATTGGATACCAGCCTTGAAATCAAAGGACAGAGGCAATTTAAAAATAAATATATCCCAAAACCAGAGAACTGAAAAGATAAAAATCATATGAAAGTTTGTACTAAGTTCACAACCTTACAGTTTGGAGGAAATAATTTTTCTCATATAAGAAGGACTAGAAAATCTTTGCTCTAAACAAATTGCTTTGCTTTTTGCCTGCTTCCCTGTGCCATGCAGAATAAAAGCTCTTTACATATCCACTCACTTGAGCTCTTTTCCCTGATGGCCACCCCCACTTTTAGCTACTGGATACTTGGACTCTCTCTATTTCACATTGACTAATAAGTCACGGTTCCTGTCTTTCTTTGCTCTTAAAAATGAAGCCTCTATCAGTCCTGCAGAAAAGTCTTCCTTCCCAGAAATAAGAGGCTATTTTGTATGTGCCTCACCATAGAGATTTTCTCATTCAAACGAGATTCCTTATTAATGCATTGAATGGTAGGTGGGACTCTCCTGTGCTGTGCTTGCTCTGTGATGTCTTATGACACAGAAACATGGGGTGTCCCATTTCCAAGTTTCTGAGTGAAGGGTAGAAAAGACAAGGCTCCTGTGGTTCTTCCTGTGGTTCTTTTCCAGCTGAAAGAAAATTCAGGATGATCAATATTGCATTCAGAAAGAAAAGATACAAGTCCTATCACAGGTTGCTTTCTTTAGGGAAGCATGGAATAGGCAAAGTCCAAATAGTCTTTTCATTTTGTCTTGTAAACTTCTTTTACAGTGCAGGATTGTCTTCCATTACTGAGGTCTTCAGACAGCCTTCTTAAAATTCATCAAGTGAAAGTCATCCATCATAGCAGTTGGAAGGAATGTTACTTTGCATATGGATGGACCTCCCTGTGAGAGACTTTTTTTTTCTAGATGTTTAGCCAAAATCTTTTGCTTACATTCCTATGACCATGTACCACCCAAAAGAAACCCAAGCATTCACAGTTCCCCTAAACCCAGGAGAGCTCAGAGTGGTCAGTGCTGTAGAAATCAAGGAGCTTTTATAGACATGCATGTCAGTCTTGCAACTTATCTTTTAGACATTGAATATTATTGGTCACTCAAGTTTTAAACAGAATGCATTTGATTTCTTGATTGTGGTTATGGCTTTCATCCCTACAATCCTGTTATCATAAAGACATGAACTACACAAGTGGATATATGTATAAAACCCAGTATTTATGTAAGGTCACAGGTTAGTTTTTATTATACATAGCTAAAATGATGAGGAATACCAGAGACCCAGACATACAGCAGGCCTTCATTAGATCTAGCCTGTGTACAGTAACTCTTTAGGGCCCGATTTAAGACCTGCATTTCCTTTTAGAGAACTCCGAATCATGCCTTTAGTCTTCTGAAATAGTGGAGAAAAAAACAAAATAACATTTTCTGCTGTTGCAGTCTTCAGTTTAAGATTTTATAATTCAGTTATGTGCAAATATAACTCATTCTGTTTAACATGTTTTTAGACTCATTGGAGAAATGCAAACTTTTCCAATGTTGTGCATACAACTGATTTTCAGAAATCCCAGGAGACTGACTGGTTCTAGGACTTCAGATGCGTTTGGTGTGTTGGTCCTATTGATTTCAATGGGAATTAGGCATCTGTGCATCTTAAGGAATTAAACTGAAGTGCCTATGCCAGTATGTCCTTTCCAGAATGTTACCTATTGAGTACTGTAATCACTTGTTCCATGTGTAACCACTAAAATGTGGAGAGACCTAAGGTAATTAGAGAAAGATTCCTCTCACTCATTCAATCTGGCTAAAATTAGGTGTTGCATCCCAAGTCCAACCTCAAAGACAAGTCTGCATCATTCTCTTGGGATATCTACTGTGGTGAGTTGGCCTTGGCTGTCTGCCAGGTGCCCATCAAGTTGTATTCTCACCTCCCCTGCTTAGAGGGACAGGGGGAGAAATTAAGATTAAAAATTTTGAGCTAACTCAAAGGCAGTTTAGTGAAGAAAATTAAACGTTGCACACAGAAGCAAAACAAAGCCAGAAGATTTGTTCTCTACTTCCCATAGCAGGTGATGTCCAAACACTTCCTGAGAAGTAAGGCCCCAGTACACATAGTGGTTGCTTTGGAAGACTTTGGAATGCCTTAATAACAAAGACTGCCTCCCCACCTTCCCACCTACTTTCTCTTAGCTTTTATTGCTGAGTGTGACACTATATGGTATGGAATATCCCTTTTGTCAGTTTGGGTCAGTTGTCCTAGCTACGACCCCTCCCAACCTCTTGCCCACACCCAGCCTACCAGCCTTAGGGTGCGGAAGGGAGTTGGAGAGACATGATTCTGTGAGAGCACTACTCAGTAGTAGCCAAAACATGGGTGTATTATCAACACTTTTCTAGCTTCTCTAACACTGAGGGCCACTATGGGGAAAGTCAATTCCATCCCAGCCAGACCCAATATGCCTATCATCTTCCTCAAATAACTTTGGATGGGCCCTAGGCACCTGTCTCAGGCTTAGCACCAAAATTTCAGCTTAATAAAGTTGATCAAGAGTGGATAAGTCCAAGTTCATGACTTCTTTTCTATTTCCCATATGCTGGAAGCATTTTTATTTGTGAACTATGTATGCCAAAAATTAAGTGTATGCATATATATACACACACATTGGCTTGTAAATATTTTTCTGAGAACATTTTACCTAGATAACAGCTGTTGATATTTTCCCACTTGAAATCTATTTTTCTCATAGATTTTAATGTAACTTTAAGGTTTGGAAAAGTTACTTAATAAATGGAAATTAGAGGTTATATAGCATTGCCCACTAGTATCATCAGATCTGTTTCATTTCTTTCATTCTTTTCATTATATTCAAGATATGTACATGGAACACATTTTTTAAGGCAAAGATTTTGCACTGGAAAATATCTGTAACTGTGAATTTTTTGAAGGAATTGTATTGGATCTTCAAAGCTATGCATTCTTATATATTAGATGGGTGAAATCTGGACTATAAAATATGTGGTTTTCAAGATCCCAGGTTAGTGAGACATGGAAGGCTTAGCTAAAGCTTGTATCCAAAGGGGAACTGTTACTGAAAAGCCTTAAGTAACATATCGCTCAGAAACAAAATGTGTATAGAGACTTTAGAGAGAACAGTATCAACACTTTCACAGATAATGGTGAAAAAGGCAATGTAAAAGAAAAGCTTGTTACCAATGAATACATTCTAAGGTCCTAAAGGAGAAAAAGACTGCAAAGGAATGTCACTGTAAGGTAGTGTAGAAAGTTTGTGTTGGATTTCTCTTCTGAAACTGACAGTTAAAACAGTATAAACATGAGCTGCTGTATAACCCCTTTTCTTCACAATAAGTTTCATTGTTATTTTCAATTAATATTTATAACACAATAGGGTCCAGAGGCCCCAGTCAAGAATGGGTCTTCATTGTTCCAACTGTTCTGCAAACATATACAAAGACTGATTTCCTTCTTTAAAGTGGATAATATCAAGCCAGACTGTCAAAGGCATTCCTGTGTAAGTTTATCACTGGTAAAACAGAAGGCTCAGAGTTTTTCCCTCTTTGAAACTAAAACTTTGTTTGGCTAATGTGTGAGAAAAAAAAAATTATGGAGAGAGATTCCTATGTACATCAGCTACTAATGTCTAATAAAATTGTATTGTAAATTTTTAATTACAGTGCCTGTAAAACATAACCAGTACATTTTCCTTCAGGTAGGAAAAGCTAAGTTAGAAAAATAAGAAGTGAAAATATAGGGGCATCAGAAAATTATTTTCATCAATAAAATAGACTCCCAACAAGTCTCATGAGTAAGGGATCTATCCTAGCACTCCATAAGCAGCAAAAAAAGGGAGTTAGGGAGTTGAATACAGATTGGACTGGGTCTGTGTACACAGAAGAGGTGACCTGGAAAGTACAATCCATAAAATAGTCAGAAATAAGCACTGTGAAAGTCTAATATTTAATCCTGTATTAGCTTGTTGAATTTGAATCAAACTGATAATAGGGTATTCAGGTGTCTGCACAAAGCTTAGAACTTGAG